CCATTCGTAACGGAGTCACCTAAAATGTCAAAAATACCCTTATGTTAAGTTGAAAATTATTTATTAACCAAGGGGAGTTATGTGTATATTTTGAAAATCATAAGGGGGTTATATGGTAAAGTATTAAACCATAAGGAAGTTATATAGTAAATATAAAAATCATACGGGATTAATGTGTCATGTACTTATAAGGGTAATTTTGACATTTTTAGAAGTTCCGTTGCGAATGACTATTTACGTCACTTTGACACTTTAATTCATACCATGAGGGTGTTATGTATAGTTTTTGAAACCATATGGGGGTTATGTACAAAACGCTAAACCACAAAGGGGTAAAATGTAATTTGCCCTCATATATATGTTTAATTTGCTCTCGCGATCCCCTTACTTTTAATCACTTTCTTGATTCTTTTCATCCAAAACAAAAGAAGGAAAAAAAAAAAAAGTTAACATTAATTTAGGTCTAATGCCTACACAATATTAGATTGCTTAATGAATATTGCTAACTGATTGTTACGATAAAGATAGCAACCACTTTGAACGTGGTTGGCACAAAACTGCAAGATAATTCGACGGCAGATTTACCACAATTGAAAGGAATGGTTTAGTTTTAACTTTGTTCTCTGAGGCTCTGCATCAAGATTCTTGTTCAGTCATATCGATTTTGGCCACCAGTGGAATGTCGCCTTCTCGACCTGTATAATATATATATATATTTTTACCTCTACATCCTCCGGTAAATAAATATCCATACAGTATCAAAAAGGGACCGTAAAACTCTCCCAATTGTTACAGATGCCATACGGGAGATATGAGGACTTCAACATGATCAAGAACAATTGCCAGGTGTGGCCCTAAAGCAATTAAACATATTGGCCGTGAAAATAAGGAAAATGATGCGTTTTTTGGTTTCATGCACATTTTCTCGTTTTCTATTAGGTGAAAGAATAAAATGTCTCTATTCTTCAAACGCATACTTTATAGGTTACAAGTGTTTCAGTCCTTACATGCGCGCGCAGACACACATACACTAGGGCTCCAAACGAGCCGAGTCGAGCCGACTTTTAGTCTAATCGAATTGAACTTTGATTTAGTTTTCTCGAACTCGATCTCACGAGCCGACTCACGAGCTTAATATTTTGAACTCGAGCCGGTCGCGAGTCGAGATCGAGAGTATATGAATTAGAAGAGTAGAAGTTATTTTCTGTGAAAATGAAATATTTGAACTATTCTCCTTTATGATATAGCTGGATGTAGCTTTCATTTCAAGGACCATTTAATTTGTTCGTCTTTCCCAAAATTTTGATCATCAGATGTAATCCGCGATATATGGCTATGGTTATTCTGTTGTTTTGTTAGAATTTGAGAAGGCAGTTAACGCATGTAATGATGCACTCACATAATATCAAATTTTGTATAATGTAGCTAAAAGCCCATGCTCCAGATACCATATTTTTAAGGACATAAAACTCTGAGCTAGAATTAGACAAGAAAAATAAAACATACTTTTTTCCCAAAACTAGAAGTAGCTTTATTTACAATACTTCTAAAATTACCACCAAACTTACATGCTTTTGTAGAAAAAAAAAAATTTGATATCATGTTTGGATTGCAATTTTTTTGACAATTATTTATTTTTTAACCATCTTTTTACTTCCCAAACTCTTCTGCAGAACAAGATTACCATCACGCCACCGACAAAATACAAGAACCTTATCTCAGAGTTTGTTTACTATTCCCATGTCATTATTGTCACCAACGATAGTTGCTTTGACAAAGGCGATCCATCAGCCTGGTCACTAGATAGACAGTGATCCCACAAGAATTTTCTTCCTCCAATAGATTCGATATGTGTCATGTATTTTGGGGTCCATTCTTTTTTTTTTTTAAACACAAGTGGGAGGCTTTAAATTCGAAACTTTTTACTTACACTCCCTCCTTCCGAACCATCCAATCCATCCCTCTCCCTAGGGTCCATTATAGTTCCCTCTTAAATCCAAAAGATTTTGGATTGCCATTGTTTTCCAAAAATTTTTTTACGCTTTCCATGAATCTATTTTCCAATCACTTGTTTACTTCACTTATATCACATAGTTAGAAAACTCGACCTGACCCGATGGTCAAATTAATCAACTCGGTGAGCTGGTGAATCGAAATAAAACCACCGGTTGAGCCACCAACTTAAAAATTTTTGTTATTTTTATAATTTAGAATATATTGTACAACCCGCAGTTAAACCAGTGATCCAATGACCCGATCACCACCTCTCCGGATTGAGTTTCGAATCGGGTTTAATAACTATGATATATCAAGTCGTTATAATATATATTTTTTATATAAAAACTCTAGAAAATAACGATCCAAACAGCCTCTAAAAAAAGAAGATACTGTAAAATTTTGCACCTATTTCGGTATTCTGTTAATCCATTGGTGGGTGCACTATATGGGTTCTTCTATTAGTAGGGGTTGGGTGGGAATGACGACACGAGGAGAAGAAACAAGTTACTATGCCCCAAAGTCTACTTGCAAGTCGTAAGGAGACACGCGATGAAGTGTAGAACGTTTTTAACTGTGCTTTTAGTCTAAAGTTTTATCATCATATGCTCGGCGAAATACTATCCAAAAAGTCAATGGAAACTCAATTAACTTTGTGACAAAGCACCTTTAAACCTTTCTCGGCCTTTTGGCTTAATCAAGCGACAAGTACATTTTAACACCATCGAGAAGCTACATACATTGTGTTGTCTTTGAGTGACAAGAATAAACTGTCATATTTAGGACAGAAATTACTAGAAGTTGAGAATAAACTGAGCCCCAACTGGGTTAGAGTACTTTTTTGTCTACTTAATGGGAGAGGGCAAGCAATTTTTGCTTGATATGGCCCGCAACGGATACGCTGCAACCGTTTGTGCCGGTTGTCCTCATTTTGCACTGCGCGTAACATTGGTTAAACACGATGTAACTTTTTTTTCATAGGATGTATTTTCAGAACAGATAGTGGTGGGCCCTACACTTGACGCGGAAATCGAGTTACATGGTGTAATCTCAGCCGCACAAAATTTTGAGGGCAAATCTTGGCCCTTAACCGTGTGACCGTCCCTGCCCCAAATCCGGCCCGCAACTTTCAATGAACATAAAGAAAATTCTGACAAACTCTACAAAGAAAATTAAAAGGACAAGGTCAACAACTTACATACATGAGTTTACCTAACCCTGTGGAAAGAATTGTTTAAAATGTACAGAAGATAGGATAGGATGAATAAGAGCAGAAAGTGTAACATACTGCTGCAAAGCAAAAGCTTGAAAAGGCACCAATTTACAAGAAGACAATGGTTGAACAATACCATTGATGTAACACATACAGCTAGCTCTTGGGATCCAATTCAAAGTAAATATGTAGGATCGAGGCAGCTGAAACTTTTTCAACATGAATCTTAATCATGACAAATACAATAGAAAGGAAAAGAAGCAGATTATGAATTACACGGTAGGAGAAGCTGTTGCTGGAGTGATCTTAATGATGAGTCCGGGGAAAACATCATCAGGGTCCTGAATATGAGGGTTTTGCTCGATGATGAAAGGGTCGCCACACTTGTCACTGATGGTATGAAGCGTTTCTCCTTCTGCAACTACGTAGATTTCATCACAGACTGGCCCCAGAAGCTGATGATCATATTCTCTGAAGCTGAAAGAAAAGGTGCTGAAGAATAAGATCATCACAAGAAGAACAGCAGAAAAAGACAAGGCTGCACGGGCTAATATAGTTGATCTCGATGCAGTGGTTCTTCTGGGCTTCATTTTTTGAGTATTTTCCGTGGAAGCCATCTTGATTCTTGTCGGCGGAAGAAGATTAAAAGGGGGAGCAATGAAGATTAGAGTTTGAGTGCAGTTTGGAAACGTAGGTCAGTATTTTAGATGGGCGGTTTCTTTAGGGGCCACGATACGATAACGTGACCTGACCTTCCTTGCTGGACGGACCCAACTGCTAAAAATCAACTGAATCAGCTGGCTTGCTACGAATAGCACAATTTCGTTTAGGATTTGATCACGAAACTGCAAAGGTATATATCTTGACCAGTTTCTATGGATGCTGGAGTTCAACTTTGAATAGGAGGTGGGTTGAATCTGTCAAAGTTTCAAGCAGACCTTTTGTCACCAACTCTGAAGCAGAAAACTCCTAGAAACTGTACTTATTTAGTCAGGGGATATTAATGCCCAGCAAGCCTTATTGGAAAATCAACACTTATTTTTGCACCGTAAAAACTGAAGCATATGGTAAATGTCTTCTTAATCTAAGACGAGATACTTGGACATCTCTAATACTTCAATGTACGTAACACTTTTGCAAGGAAAAGAAAATAGTGTAATACCTTACTCGCACTCACTGTCTCAGGTAAATGTCATTTGCACTTCCATTTCTGTTAATTACACTTTTACTATCATTTTTTTCGTATAATTTTCATTTATTAAATTATACGATAAAATAGATTCTGCGAATGCAAGTAACGGAAAATAGATTCTGATAGTGAAATGTGAATATTCACCCTTTCCCAAAGGTACACCTATTTATTGCACACTCAAACATTATTCGGGTTAACCAACTTGTCTTTCTATGAAGCCTTGATACAATTATAAAGTGGTTATCGAAATAAGCATATAGCTTTACAGAAGTAAGGAAACTTCAACAATTAGAATATAAAAGCAGGTTGGTAAATACTCTCCGTCCCACTTCGATAGTTCTGTTTTTTTTTTTTTCACACAGTTTAAAAAAAATAATTAACTTTATTGAAACGATCAATTTAAGTAATTATTTTTCTAAAATACCCTCACATTAATTAGAGTACAACTTTATGAAAACTTAAATTGATGATTAAAAAAAAATAACTCTCATTAAATGAAGTAAATTTATAATAATAACAACTTATTTTGAATAAGGGTATTTTAGAAAAATTAAAATACAACTACTTTCTTCAATTGAAAGGAAAACGGGACTATCAAAGTAGGACGAAAAGAATAAAAAAAAGCCTGATTTGTACAATTTCGTTACAAGACTGTTAGACAACCTTGGTAAATAAAATTCCATATATGCGACAATAATTTTAATTCCCAAAAAAGAAAGCCACCTAAGGGCTCTCATGAAGATCCAACACTTCCAATTGCCTTTCCATGCAGTTTCCAAACAGACAGCTCCCCTGCAGCACCACCGGTGAAGAACAGGGGGCCACAACCAACTGCAATTGTCTGGACCTCTTCCTGTGCATATATTCTGCCTCTCTCAGCAAAACTGCAAATCGTAAAGAAAATATTTAACCAGATGAGAGCCCCCCCCCCCCACCCCCAAAAAAAAAAAAAAAGGTATTTAAGTTTTCCTACAAATATGATGGCAGGTCGTACAGGCGAACGGTATTGTCTCTGCATGAAACAAGCAGGATGTGCTTGGACTGTGAATCTTCTATTCCACAGAGAGCAAGTATACCCTGAATAAGAGGAAAATCATCACATTTAGGATCTCATATTAAAAATTAGCTTCATGTAGAGATAAAATACAGTTTGCTATGGATGCACCCAAAGTAGAATGTGCTCACATTGTCTTCTTCCACTTCATTGACTACTTCCAAGTCTCCAATTTCATTTGCTGCCCAGACCTACAAAAAGCACAAAGTATACCAACGATCAAAGAATGCACGTAAACAAAAATAAAACTTTATCATTAAATCAAGAAAGTGGCTATTAAGCGGAAAGGCAACAAAACACACCTTCAATCTGTTGTCCAATGAACCAGACAGCAAAAACTTGTCCCAGCAAAGGACAGACGTGACAAAATTCTTATGTCCATTTAATATTTGCAGACACTGCAAAGTTTTCAGGTCCCACACCTGAAAGTTAAAAACCATAGAAGTGAATGAGACAAGAAAGTGCAACTTTGTAAAGGAGACACCAAACTACAAAATCCTGTGCACTGTCAGCAACTATAGCCAATGGCGGCCACAGACATTAAGGATTATTTTCTTTCTTTTAATTTTTTTTTCCTTTTTTTTGGGGGGAAGGGGAAGAAGGGTGGGAAACCTACATATTTACAAGACTTAGGAGGACAACGTTCAATTATCATTGTTGTTTTCTAATTGCTGAAGGGGATGATGGGGAAAAGGGTCGTTCTAATTTTTCTGAACTTGAAAACAACTAAACATCCAATAAGAAACAAAACAAATTTCATAAATCTTCAATCCAGTTGCACCATCCACCTGGTCTAGGTCCAAACGTGTCACAATATTTTTCAGCTCATCAGTACTATTTTTCTTGAAGATGCCAAGGTTGAAATAACATATATAAAGTACGAAAACAACATGCAAAGATCAGCTAATAAAACGTTATCTACAATAAAAATCAGATGCAATGAAACAAACGAGAGAAAGGATGAAAAGCACAAATTTCTGGAACTAAAGAGGACTACAATCATCCAAATATATGAGAAACTTTATGTTTTAGACTAAGGATAGATTAATTTGCATCCATATGCAAAATGTCATCGCAAAAAAGTACTAAGAGATTCAACTAAAGAACTACTGATACTGATAATCCTTAATTAAAGGTACTCTAACAGGGAGAATATCATAAAAGGGGACCATACTCTTATGCTTTCATCCTCGGAACCTGAGTAGAGGCAATTAGCTCCCACAACAAGCGAGAGCACAGCAAATCTGTGGCCCATTAAAAAAGCCACCGGTTCAGGGGAACAGGACACTGATGTGAACTTCCACACCAATATGGAACCATCCTGCCACAAACAAATTATTACAAACATAGAAATACAACACTAACTCTAGTCACTTGGCAATATAAAACTTAGATATACAAATTAAGAAAATTATCAAATCTACAATCTAAGGAACTAATGCTAGCAAAATTAGGAATAACTCAAATAACTGATGGTAGGTACCTGCACTCCGCCAAAAAGCATATCTTCACCCACATCCATGGCATGAACTAGGCCATTTGGTCCACTAAGGACAAGTTCAGTCTGACTTTTGATGTTCCATGCCTACAACAAGAACATACGTACAATTATCATACAATACAAGTGAATATACCAAGTAATAATTGTGCAGAAACAGGGCCCTGATCATTAGAGACGTCCCAACAGGAAAGCTATATTAAAAATTGATCATGATGGCATACTGGTGAAAAGCTCTCAGACGGTCATACCTGTGCAGCATTTTGCAAACCTGCAAATACCCATGGGCCTTCACTTATCAAGCATCCAATTTCACCACCGAGTTCAGCAGTCACAACACACTGCATCAAGAGATAGAATACCAATGAAGCACTCCTTATTTAGGAGAAAGTGAATCAATTTCACAGATGAAGGGACAGAAGCCAACCTGACCAGTGTGGCAATCCCAAACACAGACAGAATTATCCTTACTGCTGGAAAAGAGCTTGTCTGACCCAGAAGGAAGAGCTATGCCAGTAACAGCCTATGCCAAAAGTTTCATAAATTGATTAAAAGCGAAAGATGGAAGATACTTCAGGAAAACAGAAAAGAATAAATTAAAATCCAGAAATAAAAAATTCATCAGATAATCACCTTACTGTGCTTCTGTAACTTTGTCAACAGTGAGAACCCAGAGCCTGAGAATAATGAATGCAAATCCTTGCATTTTTCACCATCAACGCAATTACCACTGACCCAATATGGGCATAGTTTTTTCTGGGATTTCTGACAACTTCCACCAACAGAACAAGCTCTTCTGGAGGTCAAAACCTCATTCTTTGTCACGTGAACCATTTTACCTTCAGCACCCACACCTTCTGTGGATGAAACTGCTAAAATCTTAGGGTTGGAGAGGTCGGGATTCCTCCAAGTGGATCTAAACTTATTGCCTCTTTGACCATTGGATGATGTCCGAGGGGGTCGCTTTGGTTGTGTTTGTCGTTGTGGGGGCTGGTCTTGTCGTGGTTTCAGTGAATCTACATGGCGAAACCTGCAGGGGTTCCTATTGCACTTCCCAGCAAGCCAAAAACCACAGACTTGATTGGTGCCATAGTGCAGGCTTCCAGAACGATTAAAGACCATTTTTCTTGGCTTCTCAATGGGCCTGCTTTCTGTCTTGATTTCCATGATACTAATGCAAAGAATTTGCAGAAACCACAATTACTCAAAAAGGCAAAAAGAACTCTTTGGAACATTTAAAAGAAAAAAACTTGTGCTTTCTGGCAAAGAACCGGCCGCAACAATCCGATGCAATAGACCAACTAAAACCCCAAACCACTGATCTTTGATCTCGGATATCCCAAAACTATCCAGGTTGCAGGCAGACTCCATAGCAGAAGCACAAACAAAAAATACCACATAGCTGTAGAAAATCTTAAGCTAAAGCAATCCAATCCTAATTTTCCCCTCTGATCACTAAATCAACCGAGCAGAGTGGAAGAGAATTCAATCGTAGCAGCACCAAAAATTCCAAATAACAGCTAAATCAGACGCCAAAATCTAAGAACTAAATACCGGCCCATAAAACAATAAGAGGAACAGATAAAATGGCCAAAAAGCATTCTGAAAAGTAAGCTCTTGATGAGAACCACTATTCAAACCCATCACTCAGAAACCCTAATTTCCCCAATCTTTGAGGAGAACTCCAGATAATCTAGTCGGTCATCTCTGCAGAATCATCACGGATATCCCAAGAACAATACGACAAAATTCATCCACAATCACGAAACCCTAAACAAGAAAACCCAAAAACTCCAAGGCCGCAATGTGCGAAAATCGGACGCCAAGGCCACAGCAGTGAAGAAAAACGGCCCGCTTTCCAAATTAACATCCTTAAAACCAAGGCAAACTGAGCGATGAATACAAACAACGTTTTATGTATCGATTCTTGAAAAAGATAACAGCAAACCTGAGACTGCGAATGCAAAAACTCAAAATGCCCCCTGACAGAATGCGACTCCGCTAAAAACCTTTGCTTCGATCGATCGGAGATAATTGACGAAAACTCACAACTTTGATAACTAAGGGTGTGTTTGGATTGCTTGTTTTCGTCGAAAAATATTATCGTTTTCCGTGATCACATATTCCTATCACCTTTTTTCCTCACATGTATCAAATCGTTACAGTAATTTTTCCATGAAAAATGATGAAAAAATAATCCAAACACACCCTAAAGTTTCTATCTTTCCTTCAGAGGGAAGCGCGTTGGACAGTTACAGCTAGTTTGCGAGGGAGGGAGGGAATGAATAGAAAGGAAGGGATTTGGAATTGGATGAATGCGCTCCTCTTTAATGATTTGAGTGCAATTTTCTAATATGACAAATTTACCCTTAAAAAGGCCATACAGATGTATTTAATTTCCGATGAATCCCCCTTTTAAACAAAAATCCTTTCACATACGCCCTATCACCGAGTGAATAGGTGGATCTATCATCTAAGGGGTCAATGGGGAACTCATCGCCCTAGAACTTTGCATTTGTCAGTGAAATTTTTAGAAAATTTTAAATAAATGTGATGAAAATAGCTATTTTTAGGAATATTTTAAAAAATTTTACAGTAAAAGAGTTTTTATAATATATTTTGAAATATTTTTAGAAAATATTGAGTTATTTAAAAGTAGAAGAGTTTTTAAAATATACTTTAAATATTAAAAAAATTTAAATTATTTTTTAGAGTACCTTTTAAAATACTTTTTATAAATTTTAATAGTATTTAAAAAACTAATTTTTAAAAAACACAGCCATCCAAACAGGGGGTTTAAAACTTTTCTGGTGACCAACTGCTCTAGTTGATTTTTTCGCGAAATACCACCTTCTTTCTTCTTCCTTTTTTGGCGCTGTGAAAGAAGTAAGTGGCTCATCTAGGACTCTTTTTCTTTCACAGGTTAGCGATCAAATTTCTCTCATTCTTATTTTACTTTCTACCGTTCACTTTAGTTTTGCTTGACTTAAGCATTAAAGGCATGAGAATTATGGTGGTTTGACAATAAATTTACTAATAACTACTTTATTTATTTATTACTAAATTGACTCATAAAGTAAATCTATAATCAGCAATAATTTTAGATGGATGCAGAAGCAAATGAACTAGTTTCCTAAAGATTACTACTTATTTACTTTGTTTATGGAAAGGCCATATTTGCAAAGAAACTTATTTAACCATCATTTCTTTTCATTTGTCTTCAACTAGAAACAAATGAAACTACATAAGTTCATTTCTCTTCTAAACTCCCAACGATTTGAAATGAAGATCGTATCATTTCTCTTCTTTTCTTTGCCTTTCTAACATGTCATTTTTCTTTTTTTCTTTTCTTTTCTATCATAAACTCCCAAACTAGCTAGGAAAGAAAGCCTTGTATATGTGTATATATATATGAAAAGCAATTCAAAAAATGAAGCAAGCAAATGCATGGTATGCCAGACTAACGTATAGGTAACATTTCCTCTCTCAATACGATGCCACCACTTGTACAAGATCTACACTTACTGCCAATAATATATCAATTTAAAAAATACTTATAAATCTTTAGAATTTAATGATAATCCTATATTTTTTATTTCGTTCATCGAAACGATGATTTTATTCATGGCGACCAAAAATACAGATTATAAGGGTAGAAATTGATCAATTTTATTTTTTTGTAGTAATAGCACTGCACCCACTTCTATTTTCATTTGGATTGTAAGTTTAATAGTAAACAACTTATGCTAGTCTGGAAAGTTGGATGCATTTTTGTTGGGTTTAATATCTGGATGTAGCATCATCATCATCAAAGGAAAAAAGAAAGACCCACTGGTGATAAGTTCGACAACTTAATCGAAAAGATAATATCTTACATTTGATAGATAAATGGATGTCTCCATGTTTTTTACATATTCATTCTCTCCGAAAGAGAGAGTGTTCTTATCAAATCCCCTCCTAAAACTACAAGTGAAAGCTCTATTACAGTTCCAGGAGAGGCTTTCACGACGATTTAGCCTCCTCTGCAGATGACCCTCCAAGCAGCTTCCAAACAGATAACTGTCCTGTAGCATCACCAGTGAAAAACAGGTCACCACAACCTACGGCAATGGCCTCAACTTCTCTCTTAGCAAATACTCTGCCTCTTTCAGAAAATCTGTACAAGTTCAAAACAATGAATCCATTTATCAGATGAAGGAAGGAACATCAACAAAATCTTTCCACCCAAAAAAAAAACAAATAAATCAAGAATCTATGAACGTGACGACACTCACGATGGCAGGTCGTATAGGCGAACGGTATTGTCTTTGCATGAAACAAGCAGGATGTGCTTGGACTGTGAATCTTCTATTCCACTAAGAGCAAGAATACCACTTTCTTCCTTAAATTCATAAACTACTTGCACATCTCCACTTTCAGTTGCTGCCCACACCTTTAATGTATTATCCAATGATCCGGATAAGAGATAGCAGTCCCAACAAATGAGAGAGGTCACAAAATTAGTATGACCACTTAGTGTCTGCAGACACTGCAAGGTTTTTAGGTCCCACATCTGAAAGTTGAACACGAAATTCAAGATTAAAATTCAATAAGCCCAACAATTCTATAATTCAGAAACGCAGGAATTAACTTCAAAATCTCGTGTATCATGACACATACTCTTATTGTTTCATCCTTGGACCCTGAGTAGAGCCTACCAGCTCCCACAACAAGGGATAGAACAGCGAGCTTGTGGCCCTTTAGAGTTGCCACAAGTTCTGGGCAACTGGACTCTGAACTGAACTTCCAAGCCAATATGGAACCATCCTGCCACCAACAAGTTGACAAGCATTTAAAATTCAGTAGTGAACAACAATTAAGTCAAGAACTTGTCATTACTAGAAGCAAAAAACTACTGAACAACAGATTGTTCAAATATGATAGTATACGTATATACCTGTGCACCACCAAAGAGCATATCATCACCCACAACCAAGGCCTTAACTAGGCCAACTGGTCCCCTAAGGAGAAGCTCAGTCTGCGTCTCGATATTCCATGCCATCACAGCATTGTGCAGACCCACAAACACCCATGGACCTTCACTGATCAAGCATCCAATCTCCCCACCAGGTTTAACAATACCAACACACTGGCCAGTGTTGCAATCCCAAAGGCACACAGATTCATCCTTGCTGCCAGAAAAGAGCTTGTCAGAACCACATGGAAGGGCAACACCAGTAACAGCCTTATTGTGCCTTTCCAACTTCGTCAACAAGGCCAACCCAGAGCCAGAAAACCATGAGTGCAGATCCTTGCATTTATCGCCATGAACACAATTTCCTGTAACCCAATACTGGCATAGCTTTTGCTGAGCCCTCTGACCCGAATGACCACAATTAACAACAGAGTTCAGCACTCCAGGGGATGAAGCTTTCACATTCATAGGAGAAGAAACTTTCACATTCTTGGAGGCAGAGATGTTGGGGTTCCTCCAAGTTGATTTAATTTTGTTCCCAAAATTAGCATTTGGGTCATCTGATTGCTGAGGTTGTGGCTGTGGGATTTGTTTAGGTTGTGGCTGTGGGTTTGGTGAATGTGAGTGAAGAAACCTACACGGGTTCCTGTTGCACTTTCCAGCAAGCCAGAATTTACAGACTTGATTCTTGACATAGAGGTGCTGCGACTGCTGTCCTTCAAGTCGATCAAAAACTGGTCTGTTTGTCCTCCCATAGCTTCCGGACTCGATATCCATCATTCTAAATCAAAAAAATCTGAAGAGAACGACGATCACCCACCAAGTATTAATAACTCCATCCAAATTCAAAGTCCTAAATTTCAAGAACCAATGACTAAAACAACTAAATCCCATATCAAGTTTCATCCTTGATCTCTGATTCTCATGTAGAACCCGAACTTGCATGCGGATGCACAAAATAAATTCTTTAGCTTAAAGAGCTTAAAAGAACCAAAACTCGCCTCTGACCAATTATCCAACAAAAGAAATCCACCTTCACAGTACCAAAACTCCACCATCGGCTGATTAGATACTAAAGAGATACAGGGAAAGCTACACAGATTAATGGAAAGGCGAGGCGGATCCTCGCTCCCAAATTTATGCCCTTTGATGGAAGCCTCAATTCAATTCCAACCGTCAAAACCCCCGATTTCCCCAGTCAATTAGACTCCGTGTAAAGCTAAACCGTTGTGCCCAAAAAAAATCAGCAAGAAAAATAAACGAAGCAAAAATTTTTTTTTTTTTTTTGGTTTTGAAAAAGGCCAATATTTATCTACAATCACGAAACCCTAAACAGTAAAAGATGGAAAAGCTCAGAAATCCACAGCGGACAAGCGGGAAAATCCGATGCAATCGAAGTCGAAGCATAGCAGATCCATTCCCGAAGTCCCATTGGCGCCGATTAAATAATCAGAAAACGAAAATTATGCAAACCGAAAAGCCAAACTGACCAGAAGGATGTATTGAAGAACGTTTAAATTCGCGCGAGAGATAGCAAACCTGTCTGGATACGATATATTGCAATTATGCGGCGAACTCGACACTGCACAAAACCTATCTTTCTTCAGCCGGAGACGCCCAAATCTACCCTAAATCTTAATACTGAGAATATATATCTTCAGAGAGAGAAATAGAAGGACAGAGAACGATATGAGAACAGAGGTAATAACCATCGATGACTTCTAGGCTTGTTTATTTATAGGCTATTGTTGCTTCCTAAATTTGACTTCTCAAGTAGGTGAACTTCCAAGGCATCTCGGTTACTCGGTAGTCGATGTCTCCTAGGATTAGGATTTTTGTATTTTTCTTTTTTCCTTCCCAAGTAAATCCTAGGAAGTCTAGTTTTTTTTTTTTTTTTTTTTAAGGGTAGAAAAGATAGGTCATATTTGCTTTTTGTAATCGTTTAGCTTTCCAAAATTTAAGGGGGAGGAAAAATGTAATGTGGTATAGTCATATCACCTCTTTTAATTTTATCCCATTAATATCATAATGGGAGGAAGGAAGCAAATTTCTAAGAATATTGACCTTGTTTGGATAGGGTATTATTTGAAATATTATTTAGAATAATTACTGTAACACTTTTTGTGATGTGATATATGTGAGATAAAAAGATGATTGAAAATATAAAAAGATAGGTTGAAAAATGTATTTGTGATGCAAGCAAAATATTATTTGAAATAATTGAGGTATCCAAACACTCCAATTGTTAAATTTGAAAAAGCTCAGAGAATTGGGGTTACGTGGGGGTGGTTGCTGAATAAGGGGTCGTCGGAATTGAAAGTAGAGGCTACTAGTAAAAAGCGTTTTAATTTTTATTTATTTTGGTTCAATTTTTTACTTTTTATTAAAAAACACTGATGAGCAGCGAAAGATTGCCGACACTAACAACCGTGACCACGATTGAACTGCACGTCAGGAGTACCTTTTTGACTTTTCCATACTACTTTTTTACTTTCTTGGTTGAGCCCAAATTATTTGCTCCGGCAGGAGGCATTTTATTTATTTATGTATTTTTGTATAGGTGAAAAAGCTTCCTTTTCCTTCTGGATGCCGCAAATCAAAGCTGCGGTGTCAAAAAAAAATTTTTTTAATAAATTTTTTATTTTTTTCCACCGTTGATCACATTGGACGTTGTCGGCCAAAATATTTTCTTTTTTTTATTTAAAGTAAGAAGGCTTTATTTGGGTAAAAAATTAATTTTTTTAACTGAAAAAAATATTTTTAAAATAAAACTGCAAATCTCGGTTGCAGGAAAGGAACTACCTCGGAGGTCTGAACGATTACAATTAGGACAAGATCTACCACATGGGAGAATTCATTAGAAATGTAGTTGTTCTACCACTCCGCGAGATAAGGGCAAGAGGCGGGTTGATGGGTGAAATAATTATCGAAACTCTCATTTTATTGATAATTATTACATTCTATAAATATTGTTTAATGTTGCATTATTTATTATTATTCAATTTAGCATTACCATTAAAAATTTTAAAAATATGACTTAGGTAAATTTTAGAATGTTTTTAATACCATACCAATTATTTAAATCCTAAACTCTAATTATGCCTAATTTATTATTATTTAAGTTTATATACTAATTATTACATTCTATAAAATATTGTATTATTTATCATTATTGATTGCGATAATAATATTATAAATAATAAAAATATGAGTTAAGTAAATTTTATTAGTAATTTAATAGCATACTCGATTATCATGTTAATTTATAAATTTCACATTATTCTAATATCATATTTTAAATTTTTAATAATTTTGGTTTATAATAGAATTTTAGTAATATGATTTAAGTATTTCATGTAAAACATAAAATCCTAATTACGCCTATTTAAGGTTACGTAAAAAAGGCAGGAAAAAACTTGGTTGCGCTGGCTTTTATTAAATATTAAATAACTTATTAAAAATTACATATGAAATAATAAAAGGTAGGAAGAATGTTTCGCAAAAAAAATAAACTAGAATGAGCGGCGACACTTATTAAAAATTACATTTGAAATAATAAAGAACTTATTAAAAATTACATATGAAATAATAAAAAGGTAGGAAGAATGCTCCGGCAAAAAAAAACTAGAATGTGCACATAAGGACAAAAGCAATTTGACCAAAGCTTCGCCGCTCAACTGCAATTTGACCAAGATTCCTTCGCCGCTCAGGCCGCTCATTCCTGAGCGGCGAAGGGTTTTTTTTTTTTTTTTTTTTTTTTTTAAAGCCGACCCAAAATATATGAAACCAAGGCTCCGTTTGGATTAGCTGTTTTTGGGATTGTTTTTCAAAAACACCACTGTAGCATTTCGAATCTGAAAAACAAGTCCGTTTGGATTAGTTATTTTTGGGGTTGTTTTTCAAAAACTATATGAAAAACTTTTACTGTAGATTTTTTTGGATTATTTTTAGAGGTATTTTTGAAACATATTTTTGAGTATTTTTAGAATATTATAATTTTTATATTTTTATATAAATATACATTTATGCATTTATAATACATTTATATTTACAAATGTATAAATGTATATTATTATAAATTATAAATTATAAATGAATATTATATAAATGTATAAATTTTAAATTATAATTTTTATATAAATATACATTTATGCATTTATAATACATTTATAAATAAATATATTTATATATTCATATAAAAATATATAAATGTATTATATTCTATATAATACATAATACAAATATATTTATAAATGTATAAGTGTATATTATTATAAATGCATAAATTATAAATGAATATTATAAATATATTATAAATTATAAGTGTATATTATTATAAATGTATAAATTAATATATTATAAATATATATTAATATTATGTAGAAATGTATTTATATAATTAATATAAATGTATATATGCATTAATATTATGTATAAATGTAAAATTAATATTATGTATATTAATATAAATGTATAAATGTATTATATTATATATAATACATAATATAAATGTATATTTAAATGTATAAGTGTATGTTATTAAAAATGTATAAATTATAAATGAATATTATATAAATGTATAAATTAATATATTATAAATATGTTTTAATATTATGTTGAAATGTATTAATATAATTAATATAAATGTATACATGTATTAATATTATGTATAAATGTAAAATTAATATTATGTATATTAATATAAATATATAAATGTATTATAAATGTATTATATAATATATAATATATAATATAAATGTATATTATAAATATACATAAATATTTATATATTATGTATAAATGTACATTTATATAAATGTATAATATATTATATATTATATTATATATAATTTATATAACATATAATATTTATGTAAATATATTATAAATATATAAAAATATATTTTAAATAAAATAAAATATTTATAATATGTATGTATAAATATATAATATTAGAAATGTATAATATATATAATATACATTAATATTAATATAATTTATATATAATATACATAATTGAAATATACATATTAATATATATTATAAAACAAAATTGCATAAATATATTTATAAATTTATATATAAATAAATGTATTTATATAAATATATAATATTTATTTCAATTGACATAATATATATAATATTATACATAATTGAAATAAATATATTTATATTAATATAATATATATATATATATATAGTATACATAATTGAATATACATGTTAAAATACATAATTGAAATATACATATTAAAATATATAATTAAAATATATTAAAATATAATTGAAATATACATATAAAATACATAATTGAAATATACAAATTGAAATATACTTATTAAAATATACAAATTAAATATGCATAATTGAAATATATTTGGAGTTGTTTTTGATATATTGTTTGGATTGGTGTTTTTGAAGTTGTTTTTGAAATACATATTTACTGTAACATTTAGAATGTGAAAAACAGTTTTTCAAAAACAGGCTCAAAAACACCAATCCAAACGTACCCCAAAATATATGAAAATTAAAAGTGTTTGTATTAGTAGCCTCGCCTCTCAATTGCAGCGACTCCTTATTCAGCAATCCTCCCCCAATACCCCCAATTTTCTGAACTTTTTCAAAATTGACAAATATTCTAAGAAATTCGCGGGAGGAAGTGGGATAAACTTTTAAAATTTGGCCTCCACGTACTCTTTTTTCCCCCTTTTCCTTTTTAGTTTTTTTTTATAGTGCCGCTTGTTAGAGCAATTTTATTTTTCTCTTTTAAGTTAAGATAAAAATATTTATACACAATTTTTAGCTCCTTGCACACCTTAATATTTTATAAGTCAAATAACAAGCATGTAATACATCCATTTGGATTCCTCATTTTTTGAATAACAAGTTTTTCATATACAATGCTGTATAACACACAAAAAATAATAATTTCAAAAACATCAAATCCATACAATATATCAAAAAAACTTCAAATATACACAAAAAATAAATAAATAAAATCTACACAATTTTTTTCTACCATTTATTACCATAACCTACCACCATCACCCTTACTCATCACCGCCACCATCCCCTTCTTTTTTCTCTTTTCCCTCTCTCCCTCTTCCTCCTCTTTCCTCTCTTTTTCCCTTTCTTGCCACACCCCACCCCTCCCTTCCCCTTCCTATGATCTGGCCACGATGTCATGACCAAAGGCCTTGATCTGGGTCTGGGCTAGATAGGGGAGAAGGGAAAAAGGAGGAGTGAGACGTGGCAGGAAAAGGGAGGGGAAGGGGAAGGGAAAAGGGGAGGAAAGAAAGGGAGGAAAAAAGAGATGAGGAGAAAGAAAGAGGGAGGAGGAAGAGGAAGGGGGAGGATGAGGGATGGGATGGTAGCGGTAGTTGATTAAAAAATAATACAAAAATTTTTAAATTTAAAAATACTTCAAAATATATCCTGAATTACCTTCAAAAACTTCATGAAAAACATCTACAATAAAAAATACTGTAAAATATTTTAAAAATACTTTCAAAAATAACTATTCCAAACGGAAGAAACCAAAAAACGTGTGTGAATTTCTTCATTCTCAAGTTAAATACTAGTGTATTTTTTAGCATGTTAGTATTTGCCTTTTCTTTTATTTCTTTTAAATTACCTTTCTACAGAATGTCACTACTTATCTGGAAAGGAAACATATGGTGCTTTTGGTTTAATTATTAATAATATATTTTTT